CCTAGTGTCTCACATTGGCCAAAACCAACCAAAAGCCAGAGAGCAAGAGAACTCAAGTGAAGGAGTCCATGCAGGTCTACCTCCCTGAGCTCAAAGGATAGAGAAGGGTGGAAAGTGGATCTGGAGGGGCAAACAGAAGATATCCAGCACACCCAGTACCTTTGAAAACACATTTAGTCTATACTCATGCAGTGATAGTGTGGCTGGGTATAGAATTCTTAGGTTGCAAATTATCTCCATTTAGATTTTTTTTTTAAGATTTTATTGGGGAATTGGGGAAGGGGAAAAGCATTGGGGAATCAGGGCAGGGGAACAGACAAGTTGCTGCCCTTTTGATCTTCAGTCTAGTTGTGGAGGACGTTGCTTCACTGGCCCGTGTTGGTATTATCATTGCATTCTTGCCGGATGAGGCAGCCATTGGATGACCGCTCACGACAGTTCACGAAAGCTCATGCCCGCCGCCGGCCAGCCCCACTGCAGCCTATGCCGTCGCGGACGACTCATGGCAGCCCAGCTCCAAGTCAAGCTGTTGTTCACCATCTTAGCTGTAGAGAATGCAGCGTCACTGGCCCCCATGTGGGATCCAAACCAGGGCCTTGCTGATTACAGCTGGCGTCCCAAGCCAACTCCTAACCGATGTGCCACTCCGCTGGCCCCCAATTTTTTTTAAAAGGATTTTATTGGGGAACAGTATGTTTTTCCGGGACCCATCAGCTCCAAGTCAAGTAGTTGTCTTCAATCTGGCTGTGATTGGCACAGCTCCGTGGCCCATGTGGGGATCGAACCAGCAACCTTCGTATTATGAGCACTGTGCTCTAACTACCTGAGCTAACTGGCTGCCCCTCCCCTTAGATTTTTAAAGGCCCTTGAATCTGCTAGATTCTAGTGTTGCCACTGAGAAATCCAAAGCTATTCTAATCCCTAATCTTTTGTTGTTTGTTCTTTTTGTGTTCTTTTTTTTTCTCCTTGGAGGCCTTAGAACTTCCACAGATTTCCACTAACACATTTACTCCCATTCCCGTATCTGCACTTTCGTACCACTTATCCTGCCAATTATCATAGAAGAATAATCCATACTCTTATACTAAAGCAATCTCTCCACTTAATGTACAAGATTGCATCTCCTCTCCTCAATTCAAGGACATTGCTCCAACAATTCTTCCCCCTCTTTCTTTATATAATCATTTATGGATCTCCACTGGATCATTTCTATTAGCATACAAACATGCTATTAATTCTCCCATCTTGAAAAATAAAAAGTTTCTCTTTAACCTCCAGCTTCACCAGCTACTGCTACGTTTCTTTCTTCCCTTTACCAACAAAACCCTTTAAAATAGTTGTTATTATTGGCTGTCTTCAATTCCTTTTTCCCTTATAAGCCACTTCAATCAGACTTTTATCCCTATGACTCCACAGAAACTGCTTTTATCCTTGTCGTCAATGACCTGCTTGTTGCTAAAACCAATGGTAAATCCTCCATCCTTGTCTTCCTTGACCTATTAGCAGCACATGATACAGTTCATCACTTCTGGACAGCCTTCTTTACATGGTTTCCCTGTCACCATGTTCTCTTTTTCTCTGCCTCACTAGCTGCTGCTCCTCAGTCTCCTTTACCATTTCCTCATTTTCCTGACCAATTAAAGTTAGAGGACTCCAGGGCTCCATCTTTGTTCCTCTTCTCTATCTACACTTACTCCTTTGGTGATCTCATCCAGTCCCATTAAATTCCATCTGTATGATAAAAACTCCCAAATGTATCTCTCCAGCCCAGAGCTCCATCTGGAACTCTAGATTAATACATCCAACTGCTTATTCCACGTCTCTACTTGGTTATCTAAATTAACAGTACATCTCAAGCTCAACATGCTCCAAATCGAACTTCTGACCTGGCCCTGTAAAAGCTCCTCTACCCACCACCTTTCCCGCGAGGTAGCAGCTCTTTGTTGCCCAAGTCATCCTTGATGTCTCTGTTTTTCTCACACCCCACATTGAATCCATTTCGAATCCTGTAGTCTCTACCTTCAAAATATACCCACAATCCAACTTCTTACTCATCCACTGATATCACCTTGGTCTGAGCTATCATCCCTTCCTGAAAAAAGGCTCTTCAACATGGCAGCTAGAAGACTCTTTTAAAAATATAAGCCACGGGCCGGCCGAGTGGCTCAGTTGGTTAAGAGCTCGCTCAAGAGTCTGAGCTCTAAGCAACAGCGGTTCGATTCCTGGTCCGAGCTGAGCAGCTGCTGAGCTGCCAACCGGTGGCAGGATGGCTCAGCTTAAACAAAAACAAAACAAAAATATAAGCCAGATTGGGCCGGCCGAGTGGCGCGATGGTTGGGAACTGGCCTGGGACGCCAGAGGGCCCCGGTTCGGATCCCACATATGAGGGCCAGTGATGCTGCCCTTCACAGCTGAGATGCTGAACAGCGGCTCGACCTGGAGCTGGGCTGCCTTGAGTCACTGGCGACGGCATAGGCTGCAGCCCCTGTGGCAGTGGGTTGCCATGGGCTACCATATGTAGCCCTAGCAGCCAGTGTGAGCGGTCAGCAGCCGCAGTGAGCGGCTGTCCAAAAGCCAGCGACTGATCTGCCTCGCCTGGGAAGAGCGCAATGATGGTGCCAACTTGGGCCAGTGAAGCAACGTCCTCCCAACTAGACTGAAGAACTAAAAGGACAGCAACTTGTCTGTTCCCCTTCCCCCAATTCCCCAGCGCTGTTCCCATCCCCCCAATTCCCCAATAAAACATAATTATATATATATATATATATATATATATATATAAGCCAGATTATGTCACTCCTCTACCCAGAACCTACAATGGCTTCCCATTTTAATCAGATTCAAAGCCAACGTTTTTACAAGGACTGTACAGGATCTGGTCCTCATCTTTGAACTTTTCTTCTCCACTCCCTCCCTCAGTTTCTCACATCCAGCCACACTTCCCCACTGCTGTTCCTTAAACACACCCCTTTGTGTTAGCTGTTCCCTGTGCCTTGAAGGAGGTAAGGAACTGTCCAAGCCCATGTCTTTCCCCAGGTAGCCACTTTGCTAACTCCCTCTCCTGCAATGTCTTTGCTCAGTTCTCAGCTTCTCGATAAGGTCTACCCTGACCACCCCATTTAACACTGCAGCTTAAACCTTCGTCCCTGGAATTTCAGATTCTCCTTTGCTTGCCTTTTGTTTTCCATAAATTTATTACCTTTTAACATAGTATAAAATGTACTTATTATTACCTTCTAACATAATATAGAATTTACTTATTTATTAGTATTTATTAGAACTTAAGCTCTGTGAGGGCTTCACTAATGTACCCCAAGCACTTTGTGCCTGAGACACAGCAGACTTTCAGTTATGTTTTATTAAAGGTACGAATAAATGAACAGATTTACTCCTTATCACCAGGGTTCTAAAATTTCAGGATGATGATGATGATGATGATGTGTGTGTGTTTTAAGAGGAGAAGTGGATACAAAAAATGTCTTCACTCCAACACCTGAAATTAGGAGCTCTTGTTTAGGATAGTTTAACCTTTTTTTTTTCTTTTTAATAAATCCTTCTAAAATGTATTACATATTCTCTTGCTACTTTAACAGGTTACATGAATACAGTTTTACCTTTATTTGGAGGCTCTGGGCTTCCATTATAGTGGGTCATCAATTATACTACCCTGCTGTTATATGGGGAAATGCTTAGACCCTCCTGGGATGCCCCAGGGTGTACCCCAGAGACTTTTTCAGTTTTATTTCTAATTCAGCTGAGCCTCAAGGCCTGGAAGTGAGAAATAAGACATTAGCCAGAAGAGAGACAGCTCCTCCTCTCTTCAGCTTTCTATCTCCCAGGAGCTATACATCTCTTTTCTCTCTCGGTCCACCATCATCCCCTGCTTACTCAGCTTCCTGAAGGCCACAGTGGGTATTTATGTATTTGAAGAAAGGGATCATTTGGCAGGTGCAAGAATTCTGCAGAAAACTGGTTTGGGAGGGGAACCTTCTGCAGCGCTGAGGTGGGGGATACAGACTGCTTCCTCTTTCTATTGGTGATACCTCCCTCTGTGTTTGAGAACTAGGACAAGGCAGCCACCCCTTGAGCTGCTTCCTGTTATACCAACTCCCACAGGCTGCCTCTGACAGATTTTCAAATACGACTGACTTCACCCACTGTGCCAAATGCTGGCAATCACAGTCGATATAAATACCAGCTAAAAAGCCAAAACCAAAGAAAAAGGCAAAAAGTAAGGAGATGAGTGGACCTTTAAAATTTGACTCCTATAAGCAACTCAAATAATAAAATAGTGTTGGGAAGAACTTCAGAGGTTAAATAGTTGTCTCTCCTACACAATATATGATTTTTTTGATAACATCCTTGATGTTTGAGACAAAACTCTAATATTAGAATTGGCTGAGTCTTTGCTTATAATTTATCTCAACAGGAGCTTCAGGAATCCAATTAGAGGGAAAATAGACTCCCAGTGTTGCATATTTTTGCTTTCCTTTTAGTCCTGTTTATTTTATTCTAAGTACCTCCTTAGAATGAATGAATGATGGGTATCTAGTTGATTTCTAGTCACAATTCCCTCTAATTATAGCCCTAACCTCTCTCTTACTCCTCACCTAGGATTTTTATCAGGTGAGTCCATATAAAGAACTTCATTATCTTAAACAAGCAAACAAACAAACAAAAAATATGGGGAAATACCTGACAAAAGTAGAAAGCGATGAACTTTCTTGGTGGGTGGTTTTTTTTTCCTTTTCATAGAAAACACTAGAAAGTGAATCTCCTCTATTCGTAGGTCTAAAATGAAATCCACCCCCCTCCTTCTTAAAAAAAAAATCAATGTGCTTATGTATGCATGTGTGTGTTTGTATGCAAGCATATTTTAGGATTTAATCTTACAAGAAAACATTTATTTGCTTATAAATGTATTATTGAAAAATAATCCCCTCTGAATATTTTTTAAAGTCCTAGATAAGGTAATAATTAGAATTGTCTTTTCATTTTAGACTGAGCTTCTCACCACATTATAAATAATTCCTGGAAAACAGGCAATGAATGAAAAGGTAACAACCTATAAATCAATTCACATTCACAGTAGCTTGAATAGACAACCAGTGACATGCACAGGGAAAATAAAGAGCCTATCTTTTAGGCTACAAGGATATTTATTCTTCATCTAAGTGTTTTAATTATCTACTTACACATTTTTAAATACAGAATAGATAGGATTCTTAAAATGGTTAGTGTCATCATTGTTTTAAGCTGTTCTTTACCACTGAAAAAAATAAAAAGATTCAAATATTGTTAGCTGGATATTTATTACATATATTTTGGAGGATCTCATTTCCTTGTAATCAAATACTCTGAAGTTCAAGTCCATTACCTTTTCAAAAAAATAGTGATACTAATGGAACTTCTTAGATTTCCAGTTACACTCTGCCACCTACTTACTTCCTGAAGGAGACGATGTCTAATAACTGACTTTATAGATTGAGATCTGCCAACACTTGGTCATAAAATTCATTCAGTTTTTCTGCTTTGGAGTCTCTGTGTAAGGCAAAATGGAAAAAATATGAAATTCTCTGGTATTTTTAGAAATGTGCTGCCCTTTGTAGCTGCAGGATATTTCATATTTGTAACAATTTAGTCTACTTTAGTCTAGAGCTAATTATGGTTTCTTATTGCTTTTACTAGAAGTAAGCCTAGAATTATAACTATGATATTCTGCACCAACAAAAACATTACGTATGTTTCTTTTTTACCCCCAGATAGGAAAGAGAACGAAAGAGTTGCCCAGTAGGAAATTGCTTTCTTTTTTTTTTAGGATTGTTAATGGGGACTTGGGGGGAGGGGAACAGTGTTTGGGAATTGGGGAAGGGGACCAGCCAAGTTGTTGTTCTTCAATCTTAGTTGTGGAGGGCGCCAGTAGCCATCTGGCTTCCCGTCGGCAGCTTGTGGCCTCTAAACTCAAGGTGCTGTGTTCAATCTTAGTGCAGGAGTCCAACCAGCAGCCTTGTTATTAAGAGTGTACGCTCTATCCACTGAACCATCTAGGTGGCAGCTCAGCTCAAGGTGCTGAGTTCAGTCTTAGTTGTGGGTGGGCATAGCCCACCATCAAACAGGCAATCTTGTTGTTACACCAGCTGAGCCATCCTGCCATCTGTTGGCAGTTCAGCGGCAGCTCAGCTCAGGCGCAGTGTCACTGGCCCATGTGGGAAGGAATCGAACCGGCAGCCCTGTTGGTCAGAACTCACGCTCTTAAGCCAACTCTTAACCAACTGAGCCACTCGGCCGGCCCGGGAAATTTCTTATAAGCAAAACAAATCAACTATTTTACACCATGTAAAATAAAAGAGTTGTTTATTTGAAGGTGTTTAAAGAGATTCTAATCCTAAATGTTTTACTATTAGGAAACATAAAGTTAGAGTTGCTTAATAATGTAAAAGTGAAATTGAGAAGCAGAATGTCCTTTCTGATCCTTCCTCTGTAAATCTCAGAATTGTTTTGAGGAGTCGAGCTCATCTGATATTTCAGTTCGCCCTTTGGTAAATGAGGAATAGCCAGAAAGCCTACTAGAATTTTCACCCCAATATATTTTTATTTGGATAAACTGACTCTAATCTAAGAAGTATACTGGCTATATGATCTCTTGGCTTAAAATTTTGTTTTAAACAGCAGTGTTATATTGAGCTTGACATTTGAGACTTGGTCCACACTATCAAACCTAAGTATTGGATTAAACAATGTTAGTGATAATTGAGTGATACAGACAACTTATTTGCATCATTTAGATGAAGTAAAATGGATTCAATATTTGGAATGAGGTACATGGGGTAATGGGTCCAGAATCAGACCAATCTGAGTTCAAACCTAGATTCTGCCGCTCACTCACTTTGTGACCTTGGATTATTTAAATTCTGGAGCCTGAATTTCTTCAACTCTATTAGAGCTAGGAGTATACAAAATCTGACATCAGTAAGGACTCAATGAATGTTAGCAGAAATGTTTATCATTATTCTTATTTGAGATAAATTAATAAGGTGTTTCATAGAGCAGCATTTCTCAGTGTTTAAATGGTTTAAATGTACACATGAATTCCACGGGAACCTTGTTAAAATGCTGATTCTAATTTAGTAGCACTGGGGGTGGGGCCTGAGAGTTTGCATCTCTGAAAGCTTCCAGGTAGGTTTTCATACTGCTGGGCTACAAACCAAGATTATGCAGTAGAAAGGACACAGGTTTTGGAGTTATCCACCTATGGACTAAAAAATCCTGGCTCCAAATGTGTTAGCAACATAACCTTGGCAGGGTCAAGCTTCCTCATCTCTTAGATGGAGAATAATAAAATGTATTCCTAATTAAATCAATTTTTGTTACATAAAAAATAGTGTATTCAAACAGTACCTGACATATTATAGGTGCTTAACAAATCTAAGTTCAGTTTTTCCAAAAGAAATAATTTACTGGTCCATTCAGTATGGAGATTGTGAAAGTTTCCCTTCCTGAAAAAGACAAATTCCAATTTTCTTTGAAAACTTCTTAGAATTCTATCATTATGAAATCAAATTCAACATTGATTTAAAAGTTTATCATTGCATGGCAAGCAAATCAATTCATACCAGATGGTGTGGGAATAGACTGGGGAAATGCCCCAGGTGAGTTGTGAGGCCTAACTCAGAGAGGGTAGAATTTCAGCAAGTGTAAATAACTGAGAAAAGAAACCAGCTTGTGAAGCATTTTATTTTACTAGTATTAGTTTTGCCTCTTTTAGTATGGAAAGTTTCAAACATATATCATAGTAGAGAGAAGGTGTAATGAATCCCACATAGCCATCACTCAACTTCAGTAGTTAACAGCTCATGGGGGCCGGCCAAGTGGCTCAGTTGGTTAAGAGCTTGCTCAAGGGGGCCGGCCAAGTGGCTCAGTTGGTTAAGAGCTCGCTCAAGAGTTTGAGCTCTGAGCAACAGCGGTTCGAGTCCAGCCCGAGCTGAGCAGCCGCTGAGCTGCCAACAGGTAGCAGGATGGCTCAGCTAAAAAAAAAAAACAGCACATGGCCAGTCTTATTTTAGTTTGATTCCCATCCTCTCCCTCCATCTCTAAATTATCTTTTTTTTTTTTTAAGATTTTTATTGGGTAATTGGGGGGAAGGGAACAGTGCTGGGGAATTAGGGGAAGGGGAACAGACAAGTTGCTGTCATTTTGTTCTTCAGTCTAGTTGTGGAGGACGTTGCTTCACTGGCCCAAGTTGGCACCATCATTGCGCTCTTCTCTGGCGAGGCAGATCAGTCGCCGGCTTCTGGACGGCCGCTCACTGCGGCTGCTGGCCGCTCACGCTGGCGCTGGCTACACACGGTAGCCCATGGCAATCCACTGCCACAGGGACTGCAGCCTACGCCGTCGCCGGCGACTCACGGCAGCCCAGCTCCAGGTTGAGCTGTTGTTCAGCATCTTAGCTGTGGAGGGCAGTGTCACTGGCCCTCATATGTGGGATCCGAACCGGGGCCCTCTGGCATCCCAAGCGAGTTCTTAACCATCGCGCCCCTCGGCCGGCCCCATCTCTAAATTATCTTACAGCAAACCCAAGACATGGTATTATTTCATCCATAAATACTGCAATACATATCTTTAAAAAAATAAGGACCATTTTTCTTAAAAAGACATAACTATCATACCGTTAAACTAATCATTTCAAAGAAAAATGCTACTACTGAATTTATAGTGTATATTTAAATTACCATCAATTTTTACTACAAGGAATGAGATACACATGTAAAGCCCAATACTTAAGAACAAAATAGATATACTCATTCTGAAACATTGCTGTTGTCCAAGAAGGCAGAACAATCATTGTCCTACCTGCAAGACTGACGTTCTCAGCATCCCTGCTCTCACTGCTCCAGCTGGTTCCTAACTGGCCTGCCAAGCCTAGGTGTCAATTTCCTCTCCACATTGTCCTCTGTATTCTGAGCCTTCCCCGCTTGATTCTCTCCAGATGACAGAAGGAGACTGCTTTTAACTTTTGCCAGGAGAGGGCAACTCCTGGCAAACTGATCTGAGTTCTAACCTCTCACAAAGAGCTTAGAGCTCTAGAATCTCATAAAAACATTAGTGCTGGAAGGGACTTCATAGTTCAGCCACTAGAAATGAAAACTGAGGGATAGGAGTATTCAGTGGCTTGCCCTGTCTCAGGATTACCTAAAAACCTCTCACAATAAAGGCAAATTAGTGCACATCTAATCTGACCTTTCTAGCATCATAAAATTTCAATCAAGCAGTTTTTTCTCTTATTTTACTACATTTTGTTAGTCTCCCTAACTTCCTGCTAAGGGCTACATTTTTTTTGTTTTTTTGTCTTGGACATATCTAAACATGTATGTTTAGAGGAAAAAAAAAAGCTATTAAGCAATATGAAAAGCTTTTCAATGTTATTGAAATCCTTTTTGAACCCATATAAAAATCTCCATTTTAATTACTAATTATAAAATATTTCAAATATATAAATACAAAAATGTAATATCAATACTTATTGATACATTAATATGCATTAATAATATAAAATAAACATTATATAAAAGTAATGTAATATCGCCATAGAAAGTCTTTCCCTATTAGAATTTTTTAAAGAAAGCCCACTCTTCATCCTTTTCTAATCCTTTCGTCTTTAAAGGTAGCCTTTATCTTAAAAATAGGTGAATTGTATACAGACCTATATTCATAGATTCAATTGTTTTGTATGTTTATATAAATTGTACATTTTGCAAATTGCTATTTTTACTCAATGTTATATTTTAAGATTGAGCCATGTAGCTTTATAAGTGGATCTTGGATCATTTATATTAATTGCTATATAGAATTCTATTGTATGAATAAACCACAGTTTATTTCATCCACTCTCCATCAGAGGAGCAGTTAGGTTTTTCTATTGGACATCATCTGTTAGACTTATCACTAGGTATCCTACAGTTTTTGCAAATAGGCTAAATGGAACCTTTGTAAATATATATTGATTCATTTATTATTTATTATTATTTGTTAATATAATGCTAAGGTTATGTAATTGTTGGTTGCTGGTGTTTTGGCATGCTATTAATGTTTGTATATCAATCCTATACCCACCAGCATTGCTGAACTATTTTATTCATTCCAATAGCTTACCTGTAAGGAAATTTTCCTGTGAGGGAATGGTAATCAGGTTATCTTCACTCACCATTTTCCTGAATATTTCTTAGTGTAACAAGATAGAGAAACTTGGATTTATCAGAGTTCTAGGGGGAAAGGTGGCTGAAAGCTAGAGAAGCAGAGGGCTCGATGGAACTGTTCCTCTTGAAAGAAGCAGGCAGAGCTGGGGGTGCCCACCAAAAGCTCTGTGTATAGAGAGTAAGGATTTTTGAAAGAGGTGTGACCTGAGGAACTGGTTGGGGCTTTATGCAATGGCGGATGGCTGCATAATCTGTAATGTGACCCCCTCCTCTGTGTCTTAACGGTGTCTTTAGTAAAAATAGAAAATAATCATCACATGCATGGTCTCATTAATGTTTTTGCAGGAACCACGAGGGAGGTGGAGTTTTGTATCCGAACATAATGCAGGGACGATAGAACTAAAGCTGCTGTGTAATCACTGGGACCAGGATCCAGACAAGCAGGAGGAAGTGGAGTCTGCAATCCCGGTGAGGCATTGGAGCTGCCCAGCCTCAGGAAGGAGAATTTAAGCCAGGTTTTTTAAACCTTTAAAGGTAAGAAAGCCCCCTAAGTGATATTTGGGTTTTCATTGACAGCCGTCTGATTAGCTTGTTCCATGTGGTATACACACTGTCAAGACAGGGTTTACTTAATTTTTTCCCCAAATTTCTCTTTTCAAGTTTTGAGTTTGCTAGTTCTTTGGCTTTCTTTGAAATTAGAGTATTTATGATCTGAAGGGCATAAGAAAACATATCACCTTCAAATGATCTCCTCAGTGGTGCACCATAAGGGCAAAATTCCATCCTTAGATTCATTTCCTCAGGGCCCTCTCTACACATAATAAATGATGGCCTTATGTTACCTGAGGGAATAATCAACTAATATTGGATAACGAATTAATGTGAATATAGATTAGTTTATCCATTTAACCCATTGCTATCAAAAAGAACACCATAGGGGGAGAGCTTGGAATCTAGGTTCAAACTACCTGGGTTGAGTCGTCACTCCTCCACTTACTAACTCTGTGTGATTTTGGGACCATTGCTTAACTTCTGGGTGCCTCAGTTTCTTCACCTATAAAATGGAGCTATTCATAGTAGTACCTAAACCATAGGGTGGCTTTGAAAGTTAAATGAGTTAACCTTTGTCAGGCACTTGGAACAAAGCCTGCCACATAGAAAGTGCTACTTATTATCAGCCATAATTATTATCATTACAGAGAAAGCAAAACACTGAAGGAATGGCCCCTAGGACTGCTCATTTTGAGGGAATAATGGGATGAAGAAAATCTACCCATAGTGTATGAATGAAACCAAACAGTCGGGGCAATGGAGGGAAGGGACATTTAGAGTAAGAACATGGGCTTTAAAGAAGAGGTGCCACATAGAAATAGTTGATCTTTTGAAGTTTTACATAGAACAATGTCTAGACGCTTGGTGCTGGTGCTTGGGGAATTAGAAAAGTTCTTCATCATACATGCTTCCATAGCGGTCAGCTTTTGCTACAATAATGCTGCATAAAAAGGTACTCCAAAACTCAGTGGCATATAACAGTGAGCATGTATTTATTGCTGTGGGTCTCTATGTCAGCTGGAATTGGCTTCCAGGCTGAGGGTCTGTTCCATAGGACTTATTCTGTGGTCTGGGCAGAGGGCTAGTGGCTACCTGGGCCATGTTCTTTTCATGGTGGAGATCAGAAGCTTCCAGGAGCCTGGGTATAGAACTGACATGCTATCAGCTCTGCCCATATTCCATTGGCCAAAACAAGCCATATGGCCAAGCCCAACATCCGTGGGATGGGGAAGTACTATTTTCCCATGGAGGTGGAGCAGAGAAGGGAGACAATATATACTGGACACAAATCTCGCCTTTCACACCTTCTGTCCAAGATTTTATCATTTTGATTGTGTCTCCTCTCAGCCTTCATTTTTTCAGACTTAAGAATTCCTATCTCTTTCTTCTCTCCTGATAAAGGAGTCACTCCCTTTCTGTTCTGCTTTCCCCTCTGCTCTCTTCACTTTGTTAGATGTGACCCATTTTGTTAGCTTTTTTTTTTTAAAGATTTTTTTGGGGACTTGGGGGAGGGGAACAGTGTTGGGGAATTGGGGAGGGGGACCAGCCAAGTTGCTGTTCTTCAATCTTCGTTGTGGAGGGCGCCAGTCGCCATCTGGCTTCCATTCGGCAGCTCATGGACTCTAAGCTCAAGGTGCTGTGTTCAATTAATTGCGGGTGGGCGTAGCCACCATCCCATGTGGGAGTCAAATCAGCAGCTTTGTTGTTAAGAGCGCACGCTCTATCCACTGAGCCATCTGGGCAGCAGCTCAGCTCAAGGTGCCCAGTTCAGTATTAGTTGTGGGTGGGCATAGCCCACCATCAAACAGGCAATCTTGTTGTTACACCAGCTGAGCCATCCTGCCACCTGTTGGCAGCTCAACAACAGCTCAGCTCGGGCACAGCATCACTGGCCCATGTGGGAATCGAACCGGCAGCCCTGTTGCTCAGAGCTCACGCTCTTAAGCCAACTCTTAACCAACTGAGCCACTAGGCTAGCCCAGCTTTCTTGATTATATGCACATTTTGAACTGTTGGACTTCAGAGTAAAGTTGGAAATAGATTCCAATATCCTTTTCTGGAGTCAAGATGAATAAACTAAATGGAAGGAAGCTAACATTTTTGGAATCAACTCTATGCCAGGCACCAAGCTAGATACTCTTCATACCATGGTAGGTATTCTTTATACACTGTCCCTTTCAATCCTCACAGATCAAATGCCTCTAAGGACTAGGCAAACAAATGAATGAAGTGAGTGGGTTATAATTTCCTCATTTCAGAGGTAACAGCATTTCACATCAGAATCATTTATTTTATTCACAATCAAAAGGAATCCCTGTGGGGGCCAGCCAAGTGTGCATTGGTTAAGAGCTGGCTTGGGATGCCAGCTCTGAGCAGCAGGGCCCCGGTTCGGATCCCACATGGGGGCCAGTGACACTGCCCTCTACAGGTAAGATGGTGAACAACAACTCGACCTGGAGCTGGGCTGCGATGAGTCGCCGGCTATGGCGTAGGCTGCAGCCCCTGCTGCAGTGGGCTGCCATAAGCTACCATGAGTAGTCGGCAGCTAGCGTGAGCGGCCAAGAGCCGCCGTGAGCGGCCGTCCAGAGGCCAGCGACTGATCTGCCTCACCTGGGAAGAGCACAATGATACCAACATGGGCCAGTGAAGCAACATCCTCCACAACTAGACTGAAGAACAAAACGACAGCAACTTGTCTGTTCCCCTTCCCCTGATTCCCCGGAGCTGTTCCCTCCCCCAATTCCCCTATAAAATCTTAAAAAAAAAAAAAAAAAGAATCCCTGTGGAAATTTAAGCCCCATTTTTCAGTTAATAAGTTTTTTAGCAGGCATTTCTGCTCTGTACCCATCATAACCCTTCCTATGGGCCACTTCAGAATAGCATGTTACATTCTCTTCATTTACATAGACACAATGTACACATCAAACATTTTGAAATATTCTCTTCCACAAAGAACATTGCTCTCATAATTTTCTTTAAATACATAGCCCTCATGATCTATATTTAATGTTCCCATTTTTGTTAGGGGTATGCATACAGAGATCATTCACTTTCCTCTTGATTATAAGAAAACAACTACATGGGAGTGATGCCAAGTGGTAACTGCCATTCAGCTGTATTGACAGGGTGTATTACAGGAAATGGCGAGGACTGTGGTGAAATAGAGAGTTCATGCCCATCCAAGACGGGGAACCATCACTCAGCTTTAGAAGAATTTTGCCATTTAAGAATTTAAGCCCCACATTGCTAGATCTTCCTTTCCTTAAGACAAGTCAGAAATCCAGATTTTCATATAAAATTTCCCAAGTTTTAAATGTCACCAACTGTATTAATCTGGAGAGGCTAGGTTATGCTGTAGCAACAAATAAACCCCAAAATATCGTTGGTTTAGTACATCATACAAAGTCATATACAGATCAGCAATGTTCCCCTCCATCTGGTGACTCAGGAAACCAGGATCCCTTTGTTTTGTGATATTGCCACCGCACCTAGGGTTTCCAAGGTCACCAATGCAGGGTAGGGTACAGATTCATCAAGCTGTACATTTAAGATTAATATACATTATCCACTTTAACATATGTCTATTAATCTCAATAAAAAGGTCAAGAATATGCTTGTCAAAAATAAAATTCAAATTCTTCTACACTAATTCTAATTTTTATTTTTAGTAAGCTACAGCTAACATAATCTTTTTATTCTCTTGCATAAATAATATCCACCAACATAATAAAAAGTGATGGAAAATAAAGTTTTAGCATCCACACACCACACATTTGTGCAGGTAGGGGATATTAAAATTGCTGCCAGCATAAACGTGGCTCCTCATTCTATTCATCTGGAGGGACCAAGGCAGTAAGGAATCTGGAAGTTTTGCGGAGGCTGAGGTGGAGATGAGAGACAACCTGACCATCACAAGGAAACTTTGATTTCCAAGTGACCAGGGTGAATATCATGCAAGTGATCAACCTTATTTGAGCATGAAAATGTAAGGGATTTTGTCGGTTCCCACCTAACGGAGAGAAAGATTTACATCGATTCAAATGAATGCATTGATCAAAAAACAATATAAAACAAAAGAACAAAAATATTAAATAGTGCAACCAATTGTGTCTGATATTCTGGACATGAAGCGTATGCTCTGGAGTGATGGAGATATGAATCTACTGATCTCCAAGTCATTCTCGGTCCTTGCCTCTCAGTAGAATGCTGGAGCCAATGTGTGCATCTCTTCCCAACTCCATGTTCAGTCACATCACATAGTTAGCTTGAAATTGGCCATGGTGGGAGTTTTTACACAATGGGTATCAGCAAATGCCAAAAATCGGGATGCTTTATTTCAGAGAGCCAGCTTATAAGCATATCACTGTTTACCTGCCTCTGATGGTGGGGACATCTTGCCATGCTGAATATGCTTTTAGTGTCTAGAAGTATGAATTTCTTTTCATACAACATGAAGCCTAATTTCAAGTCAACTACTTGATCTGGTGTTCAGTTAAAGAAACAGCTAGCTGTTCCTATGTTGCAAGGGAAAACTGGCTTAGAAAACTGGTTTTGTGTCTATAGCGCCATAGAGTAATACTTATGTCTAAAGCTACACAGTCATGGATTTCAGGCTTTTTCTACATATTAATTCAAGATAGTTCAATGGTAACTATGTGGTTTAAGACCTTAGCTGCTGTGCAAGCTGCAGCTTCTAAGTGCCGTAATTGCTGTACTAATGTGTGGGTCCCAAACAACCAGTGATTCCTTTTGGTGTTAATCAGTGGCAGCCTGGGCCAGGTTTAACTTGCAACCAGAGTTGCACCTTGATACACTAATCCAGGAATATTTCTTTGTTTTGGTCAAAACATTGTTGTGATAATATGATCTGCTCAGAATTTACTGAGAATCATGGCGATATTTTAGGGGGAGCATTCACCTTCCTGGAGGTAAGAGTTTGCCGTGCAGTCTAGGACTTGTATCTAACTAACTGTAAAATCTTG